AAAGTGTTAAAAAATACACCCCAAACACAATTATCATCTACCCTCCTTGTGTCAGTTATAGTACAAGGAGCAGTGCACCCCATCCTTTATACCGGCAGGATATTGCAAAAATGGATGCAGCTACATGTCCAGCTATATAAGAACTTGTACAGCACGTTTACACATGTAGCGAACAAGGCCTACAAGTCCCGGTTGAATGGTACTTTTTTGTAACAGTCTGTGCTGCTTGTGGTTGCTTTATTTGTGAAAAGACATGAATAAAGCTACTTACCAGGAATGGATAGCTTAATGCAGCAGTAGGTAACCTACGGCACTCCAGATGTTGAGGACTACACCTTCCATGATGCTTTGCCAGCATTATGGCTGTAAGAACATTAAAGTGATGTAATCCACACTTGGAGTGCCGAAGGTTGCCTATCACTGGTTTAAGGTAGGGAATTATGGGGCATGCATGGTGCTTCTGACGACACTGGAATGGCCAGGATTGGCTTGAAAATCTCAAGCAATTCATGGCTCCTTCAGAAACTGCACATTTACAGCAAAAAATGGTAATCTCAGATGTCTTTCTTAAATAATACATTTTTTTTTAATGCAATAAAAAGTGGTGTCATTCCGAGTCTCTCCAGCCTTGAGAGTTGTGTGATCTGTGCTCCACTCTTTACGGGTCATTGTAAAATAGTATGATACATTTCATGCCCCTTGTGACCCTCTAAATATATTACATAGGGGTGATCCAAAGAGATACAATTAGCTACATCCTGCCAAATGTTACAGAATCTGCAATCCCATCTGGATGCGCAGGAAGCATCTATGAAGTACAAATTCATGCAATTCGCTAAAAATCATACTGTCCAAAATAAAAAAACTACAGAAAGGCAAAGTAATGAAGAAAGACTAAATGCATAGTTTTTGCTAGTGATGACTGAGGAAGGCATTTACCCTCAGAACAATAAAGGGTGGATGCAGGAGCCTATCACATAATTATCTCCCATGAGAGGACATATGCTTGTATAGACCCTGTTAAAATGACTAATAGACAAGTCTAATGTGCCTTCTGGTGCATATTAGGAATTCATGATTCTGATTTAGAGTGAAAAGCAGCCTAAAAATGACCTTTTTCTTGGTTTAAATAAATATGCATCTGATTTTGTTTCTTATTGTTATACTTCTGGCATTTGGAATAAAAATAAAAAGCATTTCCTCATCAACTCCGAAAATGATTTGATAATAACCAGGGATATGGTGGCCATTAAACTATTTCCACCATACCCAGTATGAGGAGATGCAGTAGTTTAGGTATTACAGTGTCCACTTAAAGAGATCACTTTGTTCTAGTGTTAACCATATGTATACAGAGTTAGTCATGATTTCTTACTGAACCCCTCCAATTCTCAAACTGAGTAGAGACATTTTTATTTTCATATATTTTGTGGTATGGAATCTAGTCCATAAAGCCTCACTAAATTTCATATATACACTCAGCTGTGTATTTACCGAGAGGCTGACACGGCATCCGAGGCAGGCACCCGCTGATGTGGGAGGCGGGTTGCGAGGGAGCGCTCTCCCCTGCTTAGCTCCCTCATGCGCACCACAGTGATGTCGGAGCCGGAATATGACATCACTCCGGCTCCACTAAGAGGCACACGAGGGAGCTGAGCAGGTGGGTCAGAGCTCCCTCGCCGCCCGTCTGAACTGTCCACCTGCATTGTCCTGCCAGCCCCACTGGACCCCAGGGAAGAAATCAACCAAAATGTAAGCAAATAATAAAACAAAATTGTGAGTGTGTTAGTGTGTGTTTGTTAGTGTGTCTGTTAATGAGAGTGTGTGTTTGTGTCTGTTAGTATGTGTCTATTAGTGAGTGTCTATGTGTCTTGTCAGTGAATGCGTGTGTCAGTTAGTGTGTCTGCCAGTGGAGGTGTATGTCTGTCAGTGAATGTGAGTGTGCGTGTCTGTCTGTCAGTGAGTGTGTGTTGGTTAAACAGTATGTGTGACACTGACGGTGTATCTGTCAGTGAGTGTTTGTCAGTGTATGCATCAGTAAAGACGTGTGTCTGTCAAGCAAAGAGAGTGTTGGTTTTTAACAGGAAATTAAATATAGAAGGAGGGGGAGAGGATGCCTGAGTAGCACAAAACCAGAATATACCACTGTATATACTAGTTATGATTACCAGCCAGTAGAGGGAAAAAAGGTAATCTGCCAGAAGCCACTGATGAAATGTATGTGTGTGTGCTGAAAAGGTAGCCTCACCTCCTGCTTTCAAACAGTACATGAAGTTTCAATGGATCATATTACTCCTACAGTCAGGAAGCAGTCAGGGAGGGAGGAGGAGTAAATGGACTCTATGATTTCACTGTTCACATTGCAGAGATTGATAAAGATTGATATAGCAGTTTTTAATACCTTTATTTTAGAAATCTAAAATGTTACAGATATTTTTTTATGCATTCCGTTGCCATTTTTAGTGAGCTGTACTACTAGTAATGCCTTCAGAGTCCAAATACATATAAGCAAGGTATTAGACAATTTTTATGTATCTATTTTTGTCGCATATACTGTATGTGAGGGGGAAAAAATATGCATACAAGCTAACTAACAAACTCATGCAAAAGTGTTTATTTCGATCTAAAAAGGTATAGTTAGGACAATACTATCCTGCATTAACATGTACGTGGGCGCACCTATATGCACACAGTATTCATTAATTAAGCACAGCTAAACTAAAGCACAGAAATAAATAAATCAGGAATACTAATGTATTATTTGTTTATAAAACAAGAACATATTCTTCTACAGTTCTGGAATTATACCGGACACACTTCCGGTGAAGTTTAACGTTTACACACAGCTTTAGAATAAATCTGCATTTAATACTTCCTCACAGAGTCCTGCTGGCCTCCTTTAAAAGAGATGAGGTTCTCTAGTCATCATTTTCATAGTCCAAAACTAAGAAATTACATCAGCGCTTTAGAAGAGCAATAGTAACAAGCTAAGCTCTAGACTGCGAAATACAAATCAAGCACTTCATTAAATCAAGATCTACTTCACAGTCCTTCGAAAGAGAACGGATTTCACACAGCAAATTAAATCACATATTAATGCAAAGGCTGTTACAAGTCCAGCTAGAGTAATCGCAAATCCATTTAACTTGAGCCACTGGTTTCTAGTTCTAAGATAGAATGCATCCGTTTGTTGTTGGTTGTTTTGGGTTTTTTTGGTTTCAAAATGAAGACAATTCCCCAAAGAGGGTAAAAAAAAATAATGAAAATACAACCTACTAAAACCAAAAGTCTATCCAACAATCAGATTGGCTGAATGGATCCTCAGTCACAGATTACAGGAAAGAATAGAACTGGGTGATGTGAGGAGCTGACTCAGATCACTGGAAAGCCAGAATCATTTAAAGTATAGTGGGATTGTTGAGTGTTAATGGGCACCTGCATTCAAGATCTTATAACCGCAATATTAATCACGTAAAAATCTAATTTTGAGATGTAAGAATTTCGGCAGTGCCTTGCTCTCTCCTGCCACTACTGTCAGATAAAATAGCTTATTCACTAAACTGTAAATTGCGGTGAATAAGAAAATACAACTGCAACATTATGGCACACACACACACACACACAACAAAATATGATCGATATTCATTTTAGCCATATCTCTTCACATCTAGGTTCCAACTAACCAGAACTCACCATTCAGAGCATAAAATTAAGACTGGCAATAAACACATTTTCAAAGCTCATCAGAAAAAGGACTTGAGAAACTTTTATTTTGAAACAGTTACTTTAGATTTAGATGGCAACAGATTCTGGAATTGCAGCCGGTGTCCTTGAGTTAAACCAGTTAGTCTAGACCCGTTTCATTCAAAAGGTTAGTCAATGAATGGGTTTAGTCAGGAATTGACCAGTGAACTAAAATTCATTAACTGGACAAATTCTGCAAAACTACAAAGAAAATACACAAAATAAGTGTGACCTGTGAGGAATTCATTGAAAATTTCAAATTATATTGTCCAGTAGACTAGGAGATCAATCCACCCACACAGCTGGGAAACACTTCATTTCTCCAAACACAGCAGTATAATTAGAGAGTATTATTTGGATGTATCAATCCTGGTAAAATATTTTATAAATAAATACAACACAAAACAAACATTTATCAGATCCATGTAACATATATAAACATTTATCAGATCCATGTAACGTATATAAACAATCAATATATTTAACAAACAAACATTCTCTATGTTGACATGTCCTATACCAGTGATGGCTAACCTTGGCACACCATATATTTCTGAACTACAGATCCCATGATGCTCAGCCACCATGAAAACCTTCTAAGCATCATGGGAAAATTAGATCAGAAACATCTGGGATGTACTAAGACCTGGATGAATGTGCAATCGGAGAGCTTGAGCTCCATGTAGAAAGTTAAGATGCCCTATAAAACTGTAATGCCTATTTTGGGTGGGTGGTGACATCTTGCTGATGCTGGCCAGCAGCTCTCATTACTCCCATCCATCCACAATGAGCTGTTCAGGCACACACCAGCCATGCCTGGATAGTAACAATGTATCACTGCATAGAACGTCTGCGAGTATGAGCTGGAATGGCTCTGTATGGACATTTTGGATCAGCCCATGCTTCTCTCCCAATAGCACACACTCCATGTACTCCCCAATCCCAGGCTCTGGAGCTTACCTCTGCAGGGTTTCTGCATGGCTGCAGCTCCTCCGGAGGATCCAGGTCTCCCCAATATAGTGGAAGGAGAGGCAGAGTCCCAGGGCTCCAGGACAATGGAGGAAAAACAGCAGCTGCAAGCTCCCCGGCCCCAGCAATGCTCCCCACACAGCCCTGACTGGCAGGGGATCAGACCAATGGTGGAGAGGGGCTGGCAACGGGGGCGGGCCCCAAGGAACAAAGGAGGGTGAGTGACAGGCAGTGAGTGGGGGTTAGTACTGTACTATGTGCTCATACCACAAAGCAACACACACACACAAAGGCAATACACAAACTCATGGACAAAACACCCCCAATCACACCGATCCACATACATTAAACACACAAAGCCACATACTCACACAGACACCTTCATACACAAATACATGGCACACACACACACACGTATACAGAACACACACACACACATATTCACAAACAGTATATCAGCATATACAGAGACACACGTACACTGTCATGTCACTGTCACATTTTTGCAGTGCAAATATGTAAGCTGTTTAATATGAAATGCATAAAGAGTCTAAATATCTCCCATGTGAGCGGTTTGGCCACACAACACACATACACTACTAGCAAAGAACATACAAACATGCTACACACACGTTATACACTGAAAATGTATGCAATAAACCTAAAGGTACATAAGGGGTTATTTGCTAAATAGTGAACTGTAAAGAATTGAAGCCTAATTAGAACATTGCTATGTTAAAAAGCAAATTGAATATTTTTTTACACTTTTTTTTTTTCCATTATTTTTTTCTCTTCATTTCACTATTTAGTAAATAGGCCCCTGATAACATTCAAAGACAGACGTGTGCATACATTGTAACACTGCCAACCCCATCACTTATCTAGGTTACACCAGTCTATTAACATAATCCAGTTACCATTTAAGTGTGAGCTATTGTGTTTTACACAGCACATGTCTTCAATGAGTAGATTTTTTTTTCTTGGATTCCCAGTGGAATAAGGAATTCGCCCCCTTACTCCTTGTGATTGCATGCCCTTTTTAGTAAGCCTTGACCTTCCAAAAAAAGCAAAGGACACCCTTTGACCTTACTGCCCCAATTCACCTTGGACTAGATACTTCTTCCATCACGGGCTATGATGTAATCATTGTGGGAAGCTTTTCAAAAATGATTTAATCTTTTGGGATAAACTTTTAGAATGTTTTTTTCCCCCAGCATTTTAACATATCAAAAAATATGTATCATATGTGAGAAATATAATTAAAAAAAAAAAACTAAATTTTTTTTTTTTTATATTTTTCATAATGTTAAATATCATCTTAAAGGTTTATTCAAAAGTAAGAATTTAATTGGTCAGATACCATGGTATACACAATGGGATTTGTAGTTTGCAGCATCTTAGAATGTCATTTGGTCAATCTTTTCATTATGTTGTCTGTGACGTCAAATGACAGCTTTATGATTTTTCCGATTACTGACGTGATACAAAGCTCCTGAAATCTGTTAGAGAGATCTCATGAGAGTGAACTCTAGCCCTGGAGCTACGGGCTAGAGTTCACTCTCACTACTAGGACCACCAGGGATTCCCCACCTGACCAACAGGGATCGAGATAAGTCCCCCCTCCTCCCTCAGTAAAGGTAAGAAGGGAGGGGGGACATAAATGTATTTATTTTATGAAATAAAATTAAAAAAATTATTAAAATCCTCCTTCCCCCCCATACATACGCTGCTCCCATACACACACTGCCCCACATACACTGCCCCCCATATACACATTGCCCCACAAACATACACTGCCCCCATATACATGTTGCCCCACAAACATACACTGCCCCATACACACATTGCCCCACAAACATACACTGCCCCTCATATACACATTGCCCCACAAACATACACTGCCCCATATACACATTGCCCCACAAATATACACCCCATACACACGCACACCTGAAACTTGTACGGCCATTTGCCCCAAATACACACTTACCCACAAACATACACTGCCCCCATTGCACGCGCTGCCCACATACACTGCCCCATGCCGCATTGTCCCTAGGCATGCCTCCCCATACGCACGTTGCCCCACAGAGCATACGCTTACTTTATACGCGCCTTTACGCACATACAGTTGCCACCCATACACACACTGCTCCCCGCATTTGCCCGCACATTCATTTGCCTGCCACTGCAGCCACGGTGCCCCACACTGCCCCGCACACTTTGTCCGCACCGCTTTTAATACCCACACACTTTTAATTTCGCAACCCCAGCCCTTTTGTTGCCCCTGAGCAGCCTGCTGCCCTCACACTTGCACGCTGGGTTCACCCAGCGCACATTTGCTCCTTACGCACGTTGTTTGCCCCCAATACGCGATTCGTTGCCCCCCGCACACACGCTGCCGCACGGCCTGATTGCCCCACACACACTGCCCCACACACACTGCCCACACCTACACTGCCCCCCATACACACATTCACTGCCCCCATACACATATTGCCGCCCCACATACGGGGGGGGCATACAGTGCCCCGTAAAGTGCCCCATACATGCATTGCCACACACACACATACACTGCCCCCCATACACACAGCCCCAAACGCACATACACTGCACCGCTCACACACACTGCAGCTCTCTCCCACACATACTGCACCCCTGACATACACTGCTGCCCTCACACACACACACTCCACCGCTCACACACTGCACATTTCACACACACTGCACCCCTCACACATACCACTGCTCCTATGCCCTATATCCCAGCAGACCCTAGATAAGCTGTCAAACTGTTCTTAAACGGTTTGACAACTTACTCTGGGATGGGGTCCTGGCGCAACTGGCACAATAACCACTACACTGAGCTGTAGTGGTTATTGTGCCCGGATTATTTCTTTAAATAATCTACAAGTGCCCCTCCCGACATCAGGCTCTGGATCTGCCCCTTTAGGTGAACACAGGAAAGTATAATTTTGAGAATGTTTTGGATAGTCATGTCACTTTAACTATAATTTTCATTTGGTATAGAGCAGATATCTAATTTGCATTGTGAGTATATACATCAAATCACTATCATTTTAATTGTTTAGTTTTGACACTGCATTTCTTCTAAATTGATTTTTTTTTAATCACATTAATTTATTATATATTATTTATTATATATTTTATCACATTAAACACTTTAGCTTATTTGATACTGTGAAGTAGTGGTGGGCTTAAAACAATATGGTGGAAATGAATCCCCATATTTGTTTGTGAAGATAGGTGGTTTTAAGTAAGTAGTAAGTAGCCTTGTAAAATTTAAAACTGTATATTTATGTGCGTGCTGTTTCTTAATCTGTATTAAGTAGACGCCAGAACAACTACATTAAAGGACCACTCTCATTAAAGGACCACCCTCAGGGTCCCCCTCCTGCCGGGCTGGATGGAGAGGAAAGGGGTTAAACTTACCTTTTTTCCAGCGCCAGGCGGGGAGCTCTCCTCCTCCTCTCCGCCTCTGATCCTCCCTTTCGGCTTCATTAAGCTGAAGTGGTCTGGGTGCCTAGAGTGGTCCTTTAAGCTGTAGTTTTTCTGGTGAATATAGTGTCCCTGTAATACAAGAAAGACTTGATTGACAGTGGCAGCAGCAAATAGGAGTGTAATTCACACTAATCTCAGGCAAGCTGGGACTTACCTCCTGTCCTTGCACTCCCATGGCACTCAGGGCTCCGCATAGCACAACGATGGTGTGATGCCAGCCACTATGTGACATCACCTCCCTGGCCCCTGTAGTACATGATCTACCTACTAAAGGGCAATATTTGATTTAAGCTTAAATATAGCAAGGAGTTGATCCAATGTTTGCATCTGCAGATCTATTTTGTAAGTCCTGGTTTGTGTTACACCATTAAAAAAATACTTTGCTCAATGTAACTAGCTTTCATTTACAATAATGGAAAACAAATAATTCACTATCACTGTCTCAATAGTGAACTACAGAATAAAGGTTTACTCCAAAACCAGAATCATAACTGCTACAGCCTCTAATGTCTTCGAGATAAAAGTCCCATGTGGGACTGGGGACTGACACGGCAATGTCTTTCACACTATATCACAATGTAAACTTTAATCTTTCTACGTAGAGTCCTGAGAGTGCTCATGACTTAGCAACATATTTACAGAGGTCAAGCATTAACACAGAGGCAAGAAGTCTAGTGGAGGCCACTAGTTTGAGGTACTTTCTATATTTTATGTATACATACAAACAATACAGGCACACATACAACATAAATAAATAACAAAGCCTTTCCACCTCTCCAAAATCTGTTTTTCTAAGCAGTTGAGACCTCTCCCATTTTACTTGGCTATGTCTATTTTGGTTTGTCATACATATTGAATGGCCATATGTTAATGTGGAAAGATTCCATGTTTTTCTGCACGCAGGGAGTTTTCTTATCTACTCACACCTCCAGTTGTGAGCCTCCGAGGTTCTGTGATGTTTAGCATTTTTAACAGTAGCATTGTAATATAGGTTGAGAAGAAGACAGTAGTCCATCAGTCTCTCCTTTTAAAGTTGCACTGTCGCTTGTCATATGTTGCAGAGATATCTTAAGGTAACATGTCCACTTGCATGTTTCATCCGAGGTTAGTTGCTGATTCTATACCTTGTCGACACTGCCATCTTTGCCACTGATTTGTCTTGACATGCGCACAGTCGTTATTCAGCATGTGCAAAACCCAACTACAAACTCCCTTTAATAAGACACGGACACCAGCTTTTCTGTTGGAAATATATGCTCCACAGCTTTATTTAATTATTATCATAAATTTTAACAAATTAGGGTCATTGCCCAAATAGTAATGATATTTAAACAGAATCTTCCTCCATACATAAATACCCTTGTAAATGACCCCATGCCAATATAACAATATATAACCATATAAATAACATATAACATGAAATACCACCAACCAAAGAGGCCCCATATCCAAATGTTTAAACTGTAGGGGTGTACCAAGACACCCCTTCACCACCAGGTTTGGATTCACCAATTAGTTTGAACCTAACAACCAATTGTAACACTGCTGCCTAATCCAGCCTAAGCCTTGCCATGACCACTTCATACTCCACCTACCTCCCATTTAACCTAACCCTTCCCCGCAGCTGTGACCAAACAAGAAATAACATCCAAACATCAGAGAGGGTGGGAGGGACAACTAACAGGTAAGTGAAGGCTGTAATTAAAATGGCCACTTGCTAAGATGGCCGCTTTATATATCCTTAGGCTCCACCCCCAAATTACTAAAGCACAGCCCTGAATTAAATTAATATTCCATGCCTACTTCCTAGCCCTGTCAAGGCCCATTTCCCTATCTGCGCTGTTCCATGGGCTACATTTCAGTTCCTCACACTATCTTGCACACACAGTATAATAAAAAAACAAGGGTCTAAGTAAAATCCTGCATGACCACATGATCTTACATACTTCTTCTCGCTCAGTAACATGTTATATGCATTTATTTTGCATTGCGTGTGCAAATGGATGTTCCAATCAGACATTCCGAGTGATAGTTGATGGCAAATGGTAGAATGTAATGCTCTTCCTGTTGACACATTTTGTCCAATGCCAGGCCCAACGGAGACCAAGTACTTCTTACCCAGTCTCTTTTTAATCTTCTCATTGCGTAATTTCCTGGGTCGTAGAGATTGTTTGTAGATTCCCAGTTAATCTCTGGGTCCCTTATTCATGGCTACTGTGTAATAGGGTAATTGGGGTGGTCAAGAAACTAGGCAACAATATGCAATGTCAATCGGCAGTTGCTAAGGCAAGTGTAAAAAGGGGAAATAATTATCGGGGTGAAAAAATAATTTTTGCCACATCTTGAATATGCTGTGCAATTTTGAGCACCAGTTCTAAAGAAGGATATTATGGCACTAGAAAAAAGTGCAGAGGCTACAAAATTAATAAAAGGAATGTAACGTATCAGCTATGAAGAAAGGTTAACAAATGTAAATCTCTTTAGTTTGGAAAGAGGGGACATGATAGCTTTATACAAATTTATTTAGGGCCAATACAAACCATTGTATTCATAAACAGGACTATACATAGGAGATTTAGTCTAAGGCAAAGGAAATGTTTTTTTTTTTATAGTAAGTACAATAAGGATGTGGAATTCTCTGCCTAAAAACGTGATTTTATCAGATTGTACAGATTTTTAAGCTGCACCGGATGAATATTTGCAAAACATTATATTTAGAGATATCATTTTTAATATGTGGGTTAACAGCTTCTTGATCCAATGAGAGATCTGACTGCCATTCTAGGGTTAAGAATCATTTTTTTTCTCCTAGTTTGTTGCAAAATTGGAAAGCCCCCTTAAACTTTTTTTTTTTTGCCTTCTTTTGGATCAACAGCAAAAACGGGTGTGAGAAAGGCTGACACTTGACTCGTTTCAACCTATGTAACTATGTAAAATTGAAATAGTATCTTTTAAATAAAAGTCAACATTACGGCGTCAGCTTTGCTGGAAAGAATCCCCCATCTTGGTATAAAGCACTGTGAAAACTGTGAAAGGTCTACTATGAATATTCTGTTTCTCTCAATAAATGTATGTCTCGCTACACAAAGGATTAAAGGACTTACAACCTCTGTGACCCTGTCCGTAAGACAATGACTGAACTTGTATTGCCATCTTGTCCCTGTGTCACCCCCAGAATACTGTTTTATGTAAATACACAGGTTTACTGTGTGGGGAGTGCAGCCCAGCCAGAAAGTAAAGGTTTAGTTCTTTTGTTGAGATAACCTTGGCAGAAGGTGGACTGCTATTTCCATTGTACAGGAAAGTGCTATTGGTGTTATTGAATTGATTGAATGTTCATTGAGTACTGGTTAGTACATAAATGCGTATTTGCTTTTCTTAGGTTTCCCTCCCGTTTATTGGGGCTATAAAACCAGTTTTGGCTGAAATAAACGTAAACTTGTTTTCTCCAAAATGAGCTGGGTCCTGTGGGCATTACAGGAGAATTGAAGGAGCCGCAGACACTGAGGTATCCAGGTGCTGATTAGAAAGGGTTATTCCATGTACCAAGACCACTTCAGTGAGTAGAAGCGTTCATGGTGCCTGGTATATGAATGGGCAGCGTTAGTATGAACCGCTGCACATAGGATGTTCAACCCATTTGCTGCCGGAGGTGTAACTCCACCAGCATCATTAGGGATCATTAACCAGCAGAAGTTGGACTCACATCACCAGAATTGCTGGGAGCCTCTCAGACCAGAGCGGACCTAGGCAAGAGGATAAAGCGTTGCTAAACAGTTTGCACCATTACCCGGGAAACTAGAAAGAGTACTCCTCACATCATAACCACCACAGAGGGCTGTAGTGCTTATGGTGCTTGGAGAAACCCTTTATTGTTCCAATCTTTAAGTCTGCTACTGTTTTGTTAAAGTCTTGCAGAAGTGAAGAAATTTCAAGGTCTGCAGAGCGTTTGATGACATGCTGCACTATCCTCTGACTACTATCGTCCTAAACTAAAAAAGGTAATTACCACAACTACCGCACAATCTATTTTACAATCTATTTCACGCCTTATAAAGTACCAATTATTAAATATCAGGGGATACCTCCACATTAGACCCAGGATAATGCAGACAGGATTAACAGATACATCAGAATCTACTTACACATTTGGATTTACACATGATACACATTTATTTTTCATTATGACATCTGAACATATTGACCCTAGCTCCTCCTACACAAATATCCCAAGAAAACAGAGATCAGAAGAAATATTTAGCCAAGCGGTTCCCTAAGCTAATAGAATTGTAAATAGTTATGCATTAATCTTTTTATGACAAAATACTAGTTTCCTGTCTGTGTGGGGAGCAATCTGCAAACCCAGAGGACATGGAAAAAAACAGATGTGTTCAAATGTTTTGGGTGGTAAAATCAGTGTATCTGCATTAAATATAGAAGAATATCATAGCATGTTCAATATACACTTCCCAAGGCATATCACTCTTCAAACGGCTGTCAAGAAAGCATCAAGATTAGTGCAGATCTAAATCACTGAAATTCTAAGTACGTGTTTTTCATTAAGGCATGTCAATTGACTGATATTTATAGACATTTTTGTTTAGCATGAAATAATTCATGTCATGACATTTATGTAAAAAAAAAACAAAAAAACGTGCATGTCTTAATACATTTTACTTTTTTTTTTTACAATATTGTTATGCTTTTCATGGTTATGGTAACTAGCAGAGGAATATGGTGTAATGGATCTATATGTCATTAAATAAAAACGTATTTAAATCATGGAACTATTTATTTCCATTAATTCTATGAATTTTTTTATTTTTATTTTTAATTAAACCCAGGCATTCTTTCCTTGATGGATGCTACCCTCTTAACTTCAACTAGAAAATTCCATAAACGGATTGGAATAAACTCTACATTCTTCATTAAACCATTTACAAATAATGGTCAGAAATACTGATTTATAAGAGATCTTAGAGTGCTTTTCATACTTACAGTTGTTTTATAAATGATTTAAATCAAATCAGATACATTAAGTTTTGTTTTATATTTAATTTAAAAGTTTTAGGATCAGAAATACAGGGGGTGTGGTGGACCTAGTACCTAGTGCCCATTAGGGCTTTATAAAAAAAACAAAAAACAAGAGCATTCATGTAACTCTTTAAATAGTTAGGTTTATAATCCTTTACCCCCCCCTCCCCTCACATCAGAAAGTGCTCAAAGTGGAGTCAGAGTAAGTTTACAGCTCAGAATGGTAGGAAAAATGTGTGAGAGAATTACTGTGTGTCTGTCAGTGAATGTGTGTGTCTGTTTGCCTGTGTGTGTGTGTCTCAATTAGTGTCCGTCTGTGAATGAGTGTCTGTCAGTGAGTGAGTGTGTCTGTCTGTCAGTGAATGTGTCTGTCTGTGAGTGTGTGTCAGGCGGTCATCAGCCGCCCTCTGATCACATGGGAAAGGTGTTTTTACTCATCTTTTTTCCAATGCTGTGCTGGTCTCGCTGCGGCTGGCACCTCCTTATTGGCTGAGATAATTGGGAGACTATTGCGCATGCGCCTCAAAATGCCATGCTGCACCAATCAGCATCTCCTCATAGAGATGCACTGAATCAATGCATCTCTATGGGGAACTTCAGTGCCTACGTGCACACTGTGCAGCAGAGGAACTCTAGTGACTTTTAGTGGCCATCTGAGTGACTGCCAATAGAGGTGTTACTAGGCAGCAATCTAAACACTGCCTTTTCTAAGAAATGACAGTGTTTACATTAAAAGCCTGCAGGAACAGGCTATAGACTGCTAGGCCAAGAGAGCCCAAATAAGAGTTCATGAAACCTTACCCAACCCCTTCATATTATTTAATAATACTAGATTGTAAGCTCACAGGCAGGGCCCTCTCTACCTGTTGTATCGGTCTGTTCTTATTGTGTTTTTTCATTTTCCCAATTGTACAGTGCTGCGGAATTTGTTGGCGCTTTATAAATGCCAGTAATAAATAAATAAATAGACGGGCCTGCCATCTATCCCCTCTTCTGTTTGTCCTCTTACTTAAGCCCTTACTCCAACTAATTAGAGGAAACCCTAATATTAGGGGTAAAACCTGTAGGTGACTTCTACTATACTGTCTTGATCCATGCCAACAACATACTGCTCACGCTCATTTACCCACCGAGTTTCCTTCCATCACTGGTAGAACTGTGAACACATTTTGGATCACTCATTTTGGATACAAAGTACATCTAGACTAATCCTATGTCCAATGACGTGTAACTATGTGTGTGTATGTGTGTAGCTGGCTGTACCTGTGTGTCTGTGTGTGGCTGGCTGTACCTGTGTGTGTGTGACTTTCTGCCTGTACCTGTGTGTGCATGACTGACTACCTGTAACTGTGTGTGTGGCCTGGGCTGTCTAAACACATGGACATGCTGGGCAGTTGCCCAGGGGCCCCACGAGAATAGGGGATATCTATTCAGAACCTTCAAACACTCTTAATTAATACGTTTAGGTGGACTGATCACCTATGTTTCGGCTGTTATCTGTACATGCGATCTTGCTGTTTCAAATACATATCTTGACGCTGACAAAAACAACGTACGCATACTAATTTTGCATAAGCACGGCAAAATCAACACACATAACATTTTTAAGCTGTAAAGCTTACTGGGAGCTGTATTGTTGTAAAACTCTATGACATATTGGTACACACCACATAGTACTTTGAGGGCATTTTTGCTGTGGAGCTCAGTGATAAATGGATAAACAGCACATTACTGAGAGTTTTTATTCCAAGGAATTCCAGAGCTCCAAATCAAAATGACTCACAGTGTTATATGACAACGGCATGTAATAATTACTGTCCCTCTTCAATGCTGGGGATGCAGTCTGATGCCTCTGGCCTGCACCTTTTGGCTGCAGACCATGAGTAGATGTCTTCCGAACTTTTGCCAATCAGAACATTGCTGCGGATTACCACAGGAAAGCTGTGACACTGTAAGTGCCTGAGTTCGCGAGACAGTTACTCACGGCCTACACCAGGCGGATGCGTAGACTGGATTCCCAGCAAACTGGACCACCGGAGATAGAAATGCCCCCCTACCTGCAAGATAACAGGGAAACGGAAATGAATATTTGTTTTTAAAACATATTAATGTAATAAATTCTTATACAAA